CTCAGGAACAGAAACTGCTCTATTATCACGTAACCCTTTCCATATCACACGACACATCGCATTTAAAGGCACGGGGCCTTTTGAACGTATTTATCTGGCATTTAAGTTCAGTGAAAGACTCTCCCCACCTCCAGCAGTTTGCGGCTTTCCCGTAAGGGGAACTGCACGCTACCCTGGAAATGCCGAAACGTAAGCAAACCAGGCCGCAGAGGGTTACATTTACCGTCCAAGGAAATCTCATTACACATCAAATTTTGTGGTACGGCGTCAACAACACTTTGATCGATCAAATGCCATCATATTCAAAGAAACTATTAATTATTCATGCACTCGCGAGTATCTCAATCTTGACGCATACATTTACATTAATTAGGTGGCGCTTACATTGTGTTACCTCGTCACAGGGTGGCTGGATCTCACAAGGAACCCACCGAACTCTACAACTTTATTCGAAATGTTTTTAAATACCATGCATATTTAAGTGAATACAATGATAGCTCATTCCTAATCTCCGACAGTAGCGTGAATAGATCTGCATCTACAAAGCAGAGGAAATGTCTCTTTTCCAGTTGCTGAAAACTAAAATAAATATTTATAACTTCATCAGTTAACCGTTCGTTTTTCTGACAATCACAACAAACCCATAAATACACCGCGGGCAACGTGCTGAGTTAGTCATTGTTAAACCAGGTTGTACATACGGATAATCGGGCTCTAAATGGTTAGGTTTACTCAAATCTAGAAAAACGTATCGCGATTCGGTATCTTACAGCAATCATCCACAATTTGAATATCACGTTGTACGAACAGTAACCAGAAGTTAAACAAAGACGTCTTGAAGTTCAACCTACTTCAAGCAGACTGACGTCAGCAAGATACCAACAAGAAATGGGCCGAAGTTTCAAATGTTCAGCTGCAGAACTAAATGAGCACCAACATCGTAAAGGACGCTCTTAGAAGACGCTGATGGACTACTTACAGCGACAACGTTCGAGTCCCAAGCACTTCAGATCTCAAGAAGCAGCGCCAGCAGTTTCAAAGAACGCCTCTTTTGTTTCAGAAGCAACGAAAGTAGGAGGGTACAGACGCAGACAGGAAGGTCATTTAACGACATTGTTTCATCTACTGGTATCGAACTACAAATGCTGCGGGAAGCTAACAAGAGGCAACAGCTTTAGTCCAACCGTTTGACGAGATGTGAAGTACGCCTATATGAACGTAAACGCCTTTCGCTGTAACCTAACGTCGTCTAGCAGCCTGACTGCAAATGTGAAATCAATTCTGGAGAAAAGTAACTCCATTCAATTTGGTATTCAGATCCACAATACATCCAACAAGTTCAATTTTTGTCGAAAATGGATAATGCGGACTACTTTACACACAGGTCTTTACTGATTCACAGGTATTACAGGATGCAGCAAGTAATGAGACAAACAGTTTATGTGAAATGCATTTCCTTAGCACAGAGTGCGCCATAAGTAGTCTATGCGTACATACAAACTGACTATCAGCGCTTTTAACAAATTACACGGAACAAAACCTTGAATATGCCCATTCTGCAATTCAAGACTCACAACTAACGCCATGGAGCAGGGTCCTTCCTGATAAACTAAGAGTACACTCAGCTATCCAAGAAATTCTCAGCCTTTTATAAAACCAGAAGGTTCACTATCGTAGTCACAAAATCCCGCTGAGCCTGGCGAATCCAATCTTCTCTTCGTTTGAATAACTTCAAACAAAATGCTGAATCCGTTTCTTCCCCCACGCGCGTCTCCATAACAACTCTTCACTTGGCAAGTGTCTCTACATACAGCTACGAATATAAACACCAAATTAAACGACACTACTTTACAGCGTTATTACGGCCCACTGGACTCTGCCACAAGCCTTTTTAATTAACTTCATGTCTTTATAACAGATTTTCCTAACATTAATTCTCATCTATGCTTAGATCTCCAAGTGCCATCACATCAGGCTCTCCAACCAAAATACTAAATACAGATCGGCATTTCCTCGTGCACTTGGCATGTCCCTCCACCTTGCCTACCTACATATAAGGATTAACCAATATTATAAGGGTGGCCAAACCGACTAGGCATGTAGCGCGGATAGATGAGAAATATATACAATTTTTTTGTACAAAACGTGAATGCAAGGGACCGCTTGGGGATCGAGGCGCAGTTAGGAGAAAAAGCGTGAAGACAACGCTTGGATTCAAGTGACTCGGGGCAGGGACCCATGCGGGCATCTGTGCCGCTCCGACTTCATTAAGAGCAGGAAATACCCGGCTTTTGGAAGAAGACCCTGTACCACGAAGTTCCGTTCCTTCGGACGATGAGCCCAGCTCACGCAATGATCAACACACGACTGCTCCATCGAGCGGGTCTAGTCTCTTAGGCTTTCCTCAGCCCCTCCAAGCGACTGCTCTACCAACCACGACCATCACTCCTAATCTGCGCAGTCGATACAGTGTCGTAAAATAACCGAAGAACTACCGTTCACGTGGCAGTATCTCTGAAATGAAGCTGATATTAGAGGTTTTCGCGAAAACTGCCCGTTCTACGGCGCTCTGTGTTTCTTCGCTTATTTCACGACACCTGGCTTCGAAGGCCCACCTTTAGTCGGGGTCGAGGCGGTTGCTCGGGGCCCTGATGCACCTGCTCCTGCATGCTGTCCGCTCCGGCGTTAGACCCGCACTGAGGGGCGACTGGTCCCGACAGAGCGTGCGCGGCAAGACGAGGCGAGGCGCGTTGCAACTGTTGCGTCAAGCCTAAATCAATCCTCGGGCTTCGTAGGCGATATTAGTCGATGACAGAGCCCAAAACGAACGGCCGAGTACTCTAAATCGCCCAATACGATGCTCGAAATGCGAGACATCAGCGTTCGCAAATACATAAATTTGCTGAGTGACCACGCATATGCATTTCGGCGAAACACCGGAATTCAGGCACAAGGCAAGTCTGTACGTGTACTCAACGAGGACGAAAGTAAAACTGCACCGGCGAAAACATCCGAGGCCCGCAACACGACCGTTGATACTAATGTTTTATTTTCTTCTTCATTCAGTTAGCACACGCTCTTTCACAAAGCGAACATTTTTGTAGAAGTTCATGTATGGTAGTCCATTATTATTAAATGGAATTCAATAACATTTAATACTGGGGATGTCTACATGAAAGGGTACCTGAATATAAATTTTGTTCCACATTGCTTTAATATAATCACTAACTTACGTAATGCTGATCTCTTCTTGCTAGTCACCGGAAGAATGTAAAAAATACATGATGTTTACACTGAAGTATTAGTATTCTGGGAGCACAATTGTCTGTGCAAGAGGTTACCATTCAATCACCATGAAAACACACCCAGGGTCCTATACTATTCAGTGATTTATTAGGGAAGAGAAAACAGATCCTCCTGTCCCAGCTGCGCCCGAATTTTAACGACACTACACTGCCTCACTCTTCATCTATATTTAAATAATCACAGAATCAAGCCTATTATTAGCCTTAGGCTGCAGAACCCAAAGGTTCAAACTGTTAATACCAAAATATGCCATTCAACACAATAATGGGTCAGTTCCATCTACCTCCTACACTCTGAGATCCAATTTAATGTTATCTGTCCACCTTCTCCTTCCAAGAACACACAAAGTTACAGTGTTGTTCTTCTGGGTCATAACACCATATAGACTTAAGGGTAGATATCAACGTTATTACATTCTTAATATATAGATCATTCTCAAATCCAATTAAGACACATGGCATGACAAAGCAAATGAAGATGACTCTAACCAGCTCGTTTTCCCCACTTCTCCTCCTGAACATAATTATATGAATCCACTGCTTACTCCATCATGTATCATCAAGGAATCAAAGCATCATACTTAGTCCTGTTGCTGTGTCAGAAACTTTCACAATTACAGACAATTCATTTCTTATTATAAACCTTATTGCACAAAGGAAAAAAGAGGCAATTTCCTTCACCATTCTAATCCAGAGTTTGGCTTTTTTGCTATGAAAGTCCAGTAAATGAAATTACAGCAGCAACTTTGAAGGTAATAAACAAAATAAAACTATAATAAAAAGATAGCTATCTGGTGTCAGAAAATGATAAAAGCAAAAGCTATAACTTATAACTGAGTACCGTAAATATGTCCGAGTTCATTTGTGCTTACGCCAAACATAATGCTGCCAAATGATTAACACTATGTATTCAAAATAAAACAAAAACCGTGAAAACAAGATGTTTTAAATCTGAACATGCATACTGTAGCAAGAAATTAACAACACTCCATTCAGATCACCAAGGTCACCTTCAAAGTACTTTCCTTCTGACTTCAGACACACATCATCTTAAAAATTAGATTATCCCAATTAAACAACCTCTGTGTGAAGGTGCATGACCTTAACTTCAAATGTCAGGCCAAAGAATCATGACCAGGCTTGTAACTGAGCTGCCATAAATGTTTCAGAACTTGAACGTAGGATGTCTGAGCGTTAATTTAACAGATAAACTCTCAAATAGACAAAATGCTTGACACATAAAAGGATTAGTGCAATCCTGTCCTCCAATTCTCACATGAGCATCTTACCTGGACAAATCTACACAGAGTGTGGGTCATACAGGAAGGCCCAGATCTCAAAATGGTTACATTTTCATGCAAATTCCTTCTGTTCTCAGCTTTTGGCAAAGAAGCAAAACACTCCTTAAATAAAATGATACTAATGTAAAGAATCAAGGGATCATTTTACAGAGATATTTTGTATTAAAAGTTGCACTGAGGAAAACTTACCACAAAAAAATGTTCACCTGGCACTGACCCACAGTGAAATGTGTCACATAGTTCTTGCCTGTATGACATTGGTACATTTGACACAAAGCTTAAAAACAGCATCAGCTGGAAATGAAAGGGGCCATTTCTCTTTTTCTCTTACATAAACAACGTTAAAATACCCAAATGCCATGTCTACAGAAACAAAAAAAGATTATTCACTCACCGCCCCGCTATGCCAGCATTCTGGACCTCCTGCACAAAGATCCCAAGCTCTCCTTTCTCTTCACTGCGCAGGCCAACTACACTGAAACCCAGACTGCTTCCTTCCGGCTTGAACAGCTGAAACATGACAACCCCACACACTCAATGTGAAATCAAATCACCTCTACCTCCAAAACAGCCATTTTGTCAAAGTACATGTATCTTCATTGTATGGAACAAAAATTAGGACAAATGTAACAAACCAACAATACATGACACTGAAATTTAACAATATCTACCTAACTTCCTACTGGAAGGTTACAAGGGGTTGTTTATCATGCTCAAGTATGTCTAGAGTTACATGTCAACAGCTACCTGTGTCTTCATGGTGTGATGCTCAGGAAAAATTCAATTTCAATTTTTCCTTTGCCATGTTCTCTGTTGTAATACAACTGGCTGTCAGATTCAAAACGTTCCCCATAACGTTTTTATGATACATCCCCAACAACTATAACAATAAATCCCAAATTGTTTAGGCTACTTTTGAACTATCAGTTAAAAGTTTTCTGTAAAATGCTATCTGTTTATCTAATTGTAATGCACAACACATACAGAATATGCTGAGATGAAAAGCTACAATGTGAACAGTATGAACATATTCAGCCGGATACTGAAAAGATTAAAATTCACTTGCCCAGTCATCTGAAAGGTCTGCACAAACTCTCATGCAAAACTACATGCCCAGCCCATCATCACGGCAACAGCACATCTCAGTTACTCACAACATGCATAAGAATGTAGTCCCATTACACTGTGAAACTGAAATCCCTAGTTTGCTGTGTTGCAGCTTGCTTATTCAAAGTAAACCACTGAATTTACGCACAAAGAGTAAAAATAAAAATGTGACCGAGAATGGAAAAAACTGTTAAGTTAGAGATAAAATGTGGCATTGAAGAGACCCCAACATCATCAAACTTTACAGCTGAAAACACCAAACAATATATTCATGTTCTAATTATGCACATATTATTAATATAATCAAAGCTGGTCTGTTGAGATGGAGTGAGCACATTAGATTAGTATTTAGTAAGCAGCAGGACAAAACTGAAATTCTGGGGAGGAAATCAGCAAATGGCACATTCGAAGGTACTACTGTACAGGGACAAGGAATAATATATGGACACAACTCAGGGTAACCAATCTCTGTGGCAAGGTTCATAATCACACACGTTCAAACACTATACGATAGGAATGCTAAGCTTCTGCTGGACAGTGATACAAGACTAGGAAATTTAATGCTTCAGTTCTTGTAGTTATGTGACTGTTCTTGAACTCTAAGGAACCTCAGCAGTGTTTGATATATCAACCACTGATGATAAAACATGTATGTATATTGACTACAGAACCTTTATGTTATTACTATTAAAGCTTATTTTTATGTCAGAAGAAAGTTGGCTTCAAAGTTTTCATGGCAATTGGTGCAATGAAATATTCTCAAGAAATAAGGCATTTAGTATGAATAAGAGTTTACCACCACCACCACTAAAAAAGCCTGTCCTGGGTCGCCTACTTGTAAAATATTCAGCCAGATATTCCCTCTGGCTATGCAAGAATACAAATACACTGCAATGATGTCACCTCAGTGTGCAGGAAGAACATGCAACCTCAAGTACATGCCTCATAGCAGCGGGGCATTCAGAAAGTAATGAGACACAAGCACTGCACTGTAGTAACACTTAAAAGTAGAAAATTCTTTTTGCCTTTGTGCAGTAGGCAACTGACCACAAAGCCCTCCTCTTGCTCTTCGTATTGCAGGTTCGTAATTCCATGCTGTTTGAGATCGCTCATTTTCACTCATTCCATCAACATGGACATTCCCACAAATATTTTCATTTGGTAACAAGTTTTTTATGCTCTCGCTGTTAATTTAAGTAAATAAAAATTTTACTGTAAGTTACCTGTTGTTTCTGAATGATACCTTGCCCAACAACATAAAATAAATGTGTTACAATGATTCCTTTTCATTTATGTTCCATGCACTTCCTTTCTCATTACTTCTATAAACAAATATTTCTTGACACATACAAGAAAACAGAGAAGAGTCATGCGAATGTTAATAGCTGATTCAACATCATGATAAAAGCACCCAACACTTAGCAATGTTGACAGGTTTGACAGACCACACCTGTTAATGAAATATATCAAGATTGGTATAGAAATTATCTTGTGTCACAGTACATGTCCCAACTGCAAGTTGAAAGCACAGATCAACCACGTTCAAGGTCCTATGACCGATCCACCACATCAGGCTTTGTGGGTCTTCTCTTTACACCTTGAGAAGAAGTAAAAGTAATATGGTTGTCATTTTGCTGACCAAATAACACTGTGCTGGTGTTTTCTTATTTCTATCACAGCAGTAACTCTGTGACTGATGTGTTCAGGAAATGACTCTTCAACAAAGCATGAAAAGACATACAATGAACAGCTTAAGAGTAACATTTTCCAAGGATAGTGTGTACTCA